ACCCAACTGATTATTACTATATATGACAAAATATGAATAACCACAGATTATTATAGATATTTAATAGCAAAAGCAGTAGGAATTCTCCTATTGTTGAAGTATGAATCACACTTATTTAAACATTAGGGTAATACAGTTGCTATCCAAAAGTATGATTTCCTCCCAAGAAGAACTGTGATTTCAGTAGAACAGAATATCAGTATTCTAAAATTCAACTGTATTTAACAAGCAAGAACTAAAAATGTAACATTAAACTATTGAAATATATTCACTAATGGTTCTACTAAATGATTCACAGCTATGGACAATAGAAATAGGGAAAGCTAATACTTATCTAATGCACACAGCCTTCAAAATATAAATCAAGCCACTATTTTTATTAGGAATGCTCAACAGGGAAATTCCAGCTTGCCAATTATAGATCACTTACCTTGAAATTATATTCCCATTTACTTGCTTTTTGATAAAAGTAAATGAAAAAGGGATTACATCTAAGTGTAGATCTCTATGATTTCTGTAATTATTAACCTAACATATTTTACCTACAAAAAAGGACTACTTATCTAGTTAGTCTGAGGAATATTTGATGCAGATGAATATCAAATTCAGAACAAGTATTTTCTCAGTCAACTTGTTCAGTCACATGAAAAGCAAGACTTTATTTTTAGCATCATATTTGGCTCCCTCTTTTTTCTTTGTTACATAGTGTTTGTTAAGCATAAGTGTTCTGTTCTAAAATTAGATTCTCACACTGTATGTTGCTGCCTGAATGTTCAAAAGGAAATGCAATTATGTGCACTTATTGCAGGAAAATGTAAATTTGAAATGGATTGAAATGCAATTGTATTGTCCAAATAGAATATAAGAAAATAGGAATGGAGGATGACAGACATTTATAAAAATAATTTTCAAAATGCTTTCGTGAGGGGAAACTTGGGCTTTTTCCTTTTTGTTTTAACTCTGTCATAATAGAATTTCATATCACCAAAGTGTTCAGGAAATTGATTCTAGACCAGGTATGGATCTTACACTTTTACTAATGATCTTCTCAGTTTGGTACGAAATTGAATACATTTAGCCAGGAATAAGAGATACCAAGTTAAAGTCATGATTATATTATGTACTTATTATCAGCCCAGCTTCATTCAAGTAAAATTAGATATTAATGAATTACAATGCAGATAAGTATGTTAAAGTTCACAAGCAACTAGACAATACTGATAAAAGTAGTACTCTGTTTACCTCAATAGACAAAATTTATTGCAGTACATCCTTTCAATTATGAAGGGAGATGTTCTATGCAATTAAAATTTGGTACCTCAAATAATTGATAATATTTAATCATATTTTTTCATTTGCAATACTGTATATCATTTAGCTTATTAGATCATCATCATTGTAAGCATCTATTTGTTTCTAGTTTTCTCAGTGACCTCAAGAGACAATGTAACAGTGGAAAGATAGCTGAATTTATTTCTGGAAACCGGGGTTGTGCAAACCTAGATGAGGGATTAAGACATAAAGCTTCAGTTTACTAATGAGAAGAATTCAAATAACAATGATATTATCTGATAGTACTATGGTCAGATTGCAAGAAAAGCCAGATAATAGTATAGGTTCTCCAAGGGAACTTAGTTCTCTCCTGTTTCCCCCTCACTCATCTAAGATAAACAAGCCAAAGCAGCTGGCAATACCCATCCTGTGAGGCTTTATAATAGTGTTTTAATTTTTCTCGGCTATACCAACAATCCTGCTCCTGTTTAGGATACACTCTTCTAAGTCTGAAAGGACTGTGGGAGATAAGTGATGGAGTATATCAGCTGCTCACACTGAGTTTCACAGTAGTACTTATCAGGACCTAAGTCCAGCCTTGGCCACCTGCAGTGTGATCTTTGGCTCAATTCCTTCTCATGAAGGCTGAAAGGAAAGAACTTTAAGGTCCTTTTCAGTTCCATAGTTTTGTGAACTTCACCAAGTTTTATTCTACCTTTTCACCTCAGAAGTTTCTCAGAGAAGAGTAATTTCGCCCTTGATAATAAAACGGAAAGACTTGGAATAAAGAGGTAATAGCAGCACTTGGCCTCATTTCCACTGGTTGGGATATGAGAATAGAACTGCTGGGTAATTACTCCCCCTGCCCATACCTCACTTCTCACCTTGGGAACCCTTTCCCTTTCTCATATCCTGGAGACATTGCCATGTTCCAAAATAAACTTATAACTTTCTTAACTTTAAAATTGTTTTCAATCACGTACAAAAATTTTAAGGAAGGTAAGTGGATATTTGACTACTTTTCATATATCTTTCTCAAACTTTAACTAATGTGCAAGTAAGTAACCAAGGGATTTTGTAGAAATACAGGCTCTGATTTAGTGTGTCTAGGGTAATGTCTCACTCCTAATACCTGACAAGTTTTCCAGTAATGTTACTGGTCTTACAGTAGCATCAACTTTGGTGGCAATGGTTGAGATGGTTCTGGAGAAGAAAGTGATCCTAAGCCTAAAGCTTAAAAGAAAAAATAATCATAAAAATTAAATGTTCTGTTTTAATTTCATGAAGATTTTGTTCTGATTTCTTCACAAAACCAGTCTTTTATTTCAAAACTAAAATTTCAGAAAGGAAATGTGTCATTCTTGTAATTATCCTAGTTTCATTTGGCTTATATTATGACTCATTCATTGTTTACTTTGGCAAAAAAACTACACTGATTTAAAATTTTACATTGATGTAAATAGAACATAAGTGAGTTGTGAGACTATACACATATAGGATAGCTAATTAAACTATGTTATTCAATTGTAAAGATGGTAAGACTTTTATTATTTGAAATAAAAATTTCTCAGTATTAATGGATATAAACATTTTTGTATACTTCCTTGAACAAAGTTTTCAAAACACAAAATAGCACAACTCTTTAAAATGCTGCATTAGAGGGCCCTCCCCAGTGGTGCAACGGGTTGGGACTCAGCACTGCAAGCGAGCAGCAGCCGCTTCAGTATGAATTCAGAATTCAGTATGAATTCTATCCCTGCCCGAATTCTATCCTTGCCCAGGAGGTGACCCATATGAGGCAGACCTCTCCTGACCCGCCCGCTGCACCCCTCAGCAGTGTACTCCGTCAGTCTGCCTATTCTGTTCCCCACTCTGTCTCTGTTGAATACTTTCACCCCCTGCAACTCTGTTCTATACCCCACCTCTGTATGAAAAAGTAAATAAATCTTAAAAAAAAATACTACTACATTAGTACCAGTCATCAAAAATAGTATATTTATAAAAATCACATTTTTAATCTTAGGCAAAACCTGTCTTTTTTCACTTGTCTTTCAAAGTCCCTTAACATTCTATATTACTAATAATATGAATAAAATACATAACTAGTTACCATTACTAGTTATTTAAGAAATGTAGTAATTTAAATTATGATAATATATGGTGCCATCCACTAAAAATAAGGTTAAGTGTAAATATCAAAAATGGTATTTGAAATTTAGCATTGCTTCATCTTATAAAGATATATATATATATATATATTACAGATATATATATATATCCCCTCTACTTGATTAATAAATGCTAGACCTATTCATTTTGAGCATAAGCTTAATAAAGTCCTGGGTTGGTTAAAAACTAAAGAACACATTTTATTAAAAAATATTACTTGCAGGATTAAAAAAAAAATTTGTTCATTTATCTGGACTTGTTTTCATAGAAGAAGTTGAGGGTTGACTAAGGGCTAGTTTACCTATATGTACTTTTAGAGGAGATGTCTCTTTAGGCTTCATATAAATGGTGGTGAGAATAAATAATAGTTGAAGAGGAAAAAAAAAAAAATGACCAGATAAAGAAAGTGAACAAGTATTGAGAAAGCAAGTGTCTGAATATAACACATTACTGCAATGTAGGAAGATTCAGGGTGTTTTCTTTTAACAGTAAGAGAATATTTTCTGGCCATAGAATTTGGTAATACATAAATTTCAGGGTTAATTTTAATGCTATGTAACCAGCTTCATATCATAAAAATTCAATAAGTTTTCATGATATTCCACTTAAACTACACATTGTGCACATTTAAATGACATATAAAAAGTGTTTAAAAAGACCTTGTTAAATTATCAGTAATACCAACAACTGTAGGTTGCTATTTAAAATACTACTGTTGCAGAGTACTTTAGGTTTACACAGAACACTGCATTTGTGAAATTCATTTACTACTATTGTATTATGTATCTTCTATAAGTAATGTTTATTTCTTATCTTAAATAAGTCACTAACCATTTAAAAACAGAAAATATAACACAAATGTCCAATTCATTTCACTAAGCAAAGGGACCTGAAAGAAATGAAGCTGTTTCAAGGCAGCTTCCTTATGGAGTGGGGAATATTTCTTTTTTATTAGCTCCATCTGATGGTTGATCTGGTTTTTACACACTGCTAGGCTATAAATTCACAATAGTAATTTAATTGCTGTTTCTTGTGCTCGTCTATCAGAAAGATGTGCAATAGAAAAGATACTGCAAAGCTGATTATATACCTAATTAGTTTATTGAATTCTGTTAAGTGTTTACTATTATAAAAAGCATTCATGCAGATACTGTCAGCTGTTTCTTTTTTCCCTGAAGTTCAGAAGCATAAATATCACTGATTGCAGCAGTATAAAATTTAAAACTTCAAGAGTATTGTTGATATTGTCTTATATACACATCTTTATTCATACCTCTCAGATAAGCCAGTTTGTCCCTAAAGTAATTTATGTTGACCTATACAACAGTGATCACCAATTCTAAATATATAAAAATGATTTTACTTTCCTCATTCCTATTTCATACTAATGGACTAGTGATAAAAGTCTATTTGTATGATGTATCTTCCTAATATTATCAGATATGAGCAGACGTAGTTGAAAATGCAGTTCTTTCTCTCAATGCAGTAAAAAATAGCTTAAATTTAAAAATATTTGCATTTAAGCTTTAATAAGTAGTAAATTAAGGAAAATACTATACCTCTGCATCATATTCCCATAACTGGTTTCCTCTCATATGATGGCATTTTAACATTATGACAGGTCCATTGAGTCTAGAAACATCCAAGCACAAATCATCGGTCCGGATTTCTTTGTCAGCAGTGTAAGAAAATACCTGAATATATAAAATTTAGTTAGTAAAATAGCATATACTTAAAAATAAAAAAACACAGTATAGCAGATTTAACTGTGGAAGTTTACACATTAGATAGACTTGTGTTTTCGAAGGATCTCTGGTGTATGCTTTGAGTAAACTAGTTCATCTCTGAGTCTTTTTTTTTTTTTCAACTGCAAGAGAGGGTATAATCTGCGTTATAACATTTTGGTGAGGGCTCAATTTAACAAATAAAATTATGAAATGCTTATTATTTGTTGGCACTTCATTTCCTGCACTAGCCTTGACTTATAAAGCTTGGAAAGCTCACAACAGGTTCAAAAAATAAAGCCATAATTGCATGGGGCTCAGTAAAGGGCAGTTGGTGTTCTTGCCATTTATGACCAGTTCCCCAAAACAACACGAAGTCTAAATCATTCTTTCCATAAATACATCACATAAATTCTATTAAGTAATGTCAGTGGATTTCTGAAAGTTGTAGAATCATCTTCTCTGGGGATCTCATTAAAGATAGGCTTTAAACATATTTTTTCTCCTAGGGTTTGGCTGGACTTGACATTAATTCTTCTCAAAATATCCAAGCATGTCAAGGTGGAGTGTGCTCATTGTTAGTGAATTCAAATCTATTTCCTTCAAGTAGTGGGTGCTAAAAGTCTGGGATCACGTCAGCAGGAGTGCTTCTCTCTTGACATGTCGATGGCCTTCTTTTCCCTATGTCTTACAGTGGTCTTTACTGTGTCTATCTGTGTCCTGACCACTTCTTATAAGTACAACATGCACATTAACTCCTATCCGAATTATTATTTTTCTTTTAACCCTAATGCCATTTTAAAAAACTATCTCCAAATATAGTCACATTTTGAGGTAATGGGACTAAGACTTCAACATATGAACTGGGGTTGGGGAGCACACAATTCAGACTGTGACCTTATTAGCTCTTTAAGATGTACTGGAAAAAAAAAAGTATTGAAGGAGTTAATATATCTCACCCTACTTCCATGGAAAAAAATATAGGGTGTATGATAGTTCTGCTTACTTGTCTAGGTCCACTTGGAGTTCAATTCAGATATTAGGATAGTTTAACATTATTAATCAAAACATCCAAAGATAACATAATGTAAAATTTTCTCCACTTTTCTAAATGGGCCCTGCTTTGGGGTTGGGATCCTGAAGTGGGACAGGGCATCACTGATGTTTCTTTCTTTTTTTTTTTCACTTATTTATACATATAGAACGGGGGTACAGGTCAGAGGTGGGGGTGGTTGTGAGAGGAATCACCAGAGACAGATCAGGCAGACTGACAAAGTACACTGTTGAGGGGAGCAGCGGGCGGGTCAGGAGAGATCTGCTGTGCCATTTGGGTCACCTCCCTGGATGGGGATAGAACTCGGTGCTGCAGTGGCTGTGATAGCTTCATAGTGCTGTACTTTAACCCATTGGGCCACAAGGGAGGTCCTATCCCTGATTTTTCTACTGCAACCTCCTCCTTTCACGTTTCTTGCCCACACTCAAATCCCCCCAATCCCCAAACCCCCCCAGGTTACTATTTGGTTTTCTGTTCTTCCACAGTGGTGAAGGTATAGGAGATGTCTTACTTGCCCTGTCTGTTTAGAACTACTTCCTGTTCTCTAGCCTAGCAGAGCTAGAAAAGTTCCTTCTCCTGAGAGTGTTTGTAGTTCTTTAAATATTCCAAGCTAAGTATCTCTCACTACATTTAAAAATATATATATATTTATTTATTTATGCATACAGAACTGGGGTACAAGCCAGAGGTTCAGAGGAGGTGAGAGGATCACCAGAGACACAGCGGGGAGCAGAACAGGCTGATCAATGAAATACACTGCTGAGGGGAGCAGTGGGCGGGTCAGGAGATGTCTGCCACGCTATGTGGATCGAACTTGCACTGAAGCCGCTGCTGCCAGCTTGTGATGCTGCGTCCTTACCCACTGCGCCCCCAGAGAGGGCCTCACTACATATTTTTTAAGCGGGTCACCTTTTATTAAGATAAGCTGTAATAGGCACTTCACTGTAATCTTGTTGTCATAGGCCAGCCTCATCACGCATGAGTCATCACAATCTCCAAGATTCCTGAAGTTCGGAAGCAGATAATAAACTCTGAATGTGATGTCCTACATAGTTTGCAGGCCAATGCAAAATGGAATTGCAGGACTTTTGTTCAAAAATAATGAAGACTTCAGAGTAGAGGGCCCTGTCAGTGGCAAGGGGTTCACACCAGTCCCTAGCCCTGTCATGAGTCCTTCTCTCAGTAGGCTTGTCACTGGAAACTAGGCCAGCCCCTTCCTCTAAAAGGAGAGCAACTACTTTCTCAATGAAAATCTTGCAGTTTCTCTACTTGCTGTTAACTCCTATTGCATGTTGAAATGTGTCTCCTAAAAGATGTGTCAGTGTCCTAACTCCCAGCGTTGCAGAATGGGAACATACTGTTGTTGCTCTTAATTTCACTATGATGAAGTCACATTGCAATATACCATGTCCTCAGTTCAAAATCAAAAGGACTGGTGTCCTTGTATAAAAAAGACAGAGACATGGAGGCAGCAGACAGAGTGTATTCTACAAGCTTGGTGACATCAAAGAATGCTGACCTGCGGGGGACCTTGACCAGCAAGGCCGGAGATTAGGGGCCCCAGGTCTGCCGTACAAGAGTCAGTCGTGCACGTGCAGCAGCAGAGAGCGTTTATTGGGCTTTACATCCGCTTACATAAAGGAGGAGGGTGATGCAATATCGGAAGCCAGGAGGGGAGGAGACCAATGGGAATACAGCACGTTTTGGTGGGCTGCTGATCTTGCGAGGGGCGAAAATGGGCGAGAAGAGAAAGAGGAAGAGGAAGGGTGTGGGCCGAAGGGTTTCTTAGGTCGTGTCTTTATCAACCCGGATTTTTTTTTTGTTGTTGTTGTTGAAATGCTTTTAATTCCGTTGCCCAACGGAACAAGCTGTCCGCTTCGGTTCCCAACACTGACCAACACCAGAAGTGGTCTAAGCAAGAACTGATTCTCTTTTACAAGTTTCAGAAGGAATATTGTCTTTCTCATAACCTTGCTTTCAAACTTCTATGGTCTCAGAAAAAGTAATAAATTCCTGTTGTTATAAACACCCAGTTTGTGAGTTTGTTAAGGCAGTTATTGGAAACTAATAGATGTCCTTTTATTTATAAAGATGGCTGAAGGGTCTAAAAGACATGGAATTAGTTTCCCAAATTGACATTGCAGATGACCCAGGGAAAGCTGATTTTAGATTTCATATTGATTGTACAACGGTGTCTGGGCTGAACACTGTACTATCCAATTAAAATTTCCAAAAGCATCAAATCAATCTTTTTCATAACCATTTTCTACTCAAATATCTCTCAAAATGGTTGTTTACTGTGACTAAGTGATTTACTCTGGTGCTTTTATAAAAATATTCTTTACTGAGGTCAGATTAATTTTGTCTCTGAATTGATGTACTCAGATGAGTTTCAGAATAATTTATAACATATAAAGGATAATAGCTAATTTGAATCTCAATTTATTCCAATCTTACATTTTTTTCCAGAGGAGGAAAACATTTTTATTATTTCATATATGTATACGATTTATTATGGATTTTTTCTTTTTGAGAAAGTATGTTTAAAGGTATTCTACAGTATGATTATTTCACTATGATGAAGACATTTAAACACTTTTCAAGGACTTTTGTGAGAATGATCTAAAATATTCTATATTTGTCCCTCTGAGCTCACCAGGTGTTAGTTGAATTGGTTTATAGTTTATTTTATTTGACTCTAAGAATAATAAAATTAAAACCAACTGAATATGTGGTCAATTGTCAATTCATAATGAGCTTGTCAACTTGTGCACACTAAATCAAGAATAAAGAATGCTGGGATTTAATACAAGAGAAGAAACTAAATAAAACATTCCATATAAACTTGACTTTATTAAATGTCTACATTTCTTTTCAAAAACTGCATCATGTTTAAAACCCTAACGATGGAGAGTTACTTCTCTTATCTTTATCCCTGAGAAATTGCAAAGTTTTGCTTAGATTTGTAGTAAAATAGCAGCTTGCAAAAACCTTACACAAGCAGTGGCATTTGCAAAGTAAACACGCTGTGTTTAGCTTTAGTGCGACCTAGACTCCTCCTCCTTCAGCCCGGCTCTTAGGAATGACACGCCCTCTGCTGGCTCTGTCTTGAAGTGTTTCTAAAATATTTTCACGTATATTCGATACGGCTATGTTAATATGGTTGTGATTTCTCTAGATTTAATTTTGAATTTATAAAATACTTTTCCTTTTGAGGTTCCCAGGGAAATATTTATTCTAAAAGGTCACAGCTTTAAGGTACTTTGTATGTCATTTTATGACAACCACTTTGCTTTTCAGATGAAGAAACCGAGGGCAACAGAGTCACAGGATTTTTCCACTTTTTCTCTCACTTAGTGACAGGGGTTTCCCTGCACTCCAAACTCATTGTCATTATTCTTTCACATACTTCCCAGCACACACCATTGCCAGTTAGTTATTTTGGAGCTTTGAATTCTTCAAGGCATTCTTTAGCTATCTTAGTGCAGTCTAGTTGAGAAATCTGTTAATACTATCCAGAAGAATTAAAATTAAAAGGAAATAAACACTTTATAACAGTTTTAGTGCCATTCTATTAAAAAATAGTGGAAGAAAAAGAACACTGAAATAATAAGGAAAAATGTTTAGAAACAAAATTATACCCTTTGAAATAAGATTTTCCAAAATATTCTCTTATTATAGGACATATCACTTTGAAATTAGCATGGAGAATGCAGGGATGGAATTGAATTCATCAGTAGAGCCGCCAAGCAAAAAGACTTTTGCTTTATAAAATTTCAAGCTTCATCTATTGTCTATTAGGTCAGTGGTTTGTATATAGGAGGGTAAGAAGTAGATGTGTTTTCTGACCGTACTCTTACATGCTTAAATGATAGCTATGCTCTTTTAACATTTTATGCTCTGAAATTTCATTATT